AAATATCTGAGTCAAGCAGCCAGTTCTAGATATGGAGGGTGCTTCTGACAAGAGGTTAGCCAAGATAATAGGATAAAATGCTGTGCTGCCATACAGCCCATTCAGGGACAAGTTACAAATAAATATATACATGGGTTCATGGAGTTTTCTTTCTCTAGCAATTGTTGTTATGAGAACTGTATTTACAAAGACAATCAAAATATAAGTCAACAAGGTTAACGTGAAATACAAATACTTAATATTGCCTTTGGCTTCATAAGCGGTGAAAAGGAATACTGTCACAAGGGTTAAATTCTTCATGGTGTCTTCTTGATTTCCTGAAAGCACATTGGAAACAAATTATTAAATATTTATGAGTTGTTTTATTATTATTTTTATAAGCAATTATCTTTAAAAAACCTCAAACACAGTATCTTAAAAGATTCCAATACCTTCACTGTAGAGCTTTTATTTCATATGAGAATTCCTTCACTAAAACTATTTCTTTCTTCCATTTAAAAGCATGCTTTCTGAAAAACAAACTATGAATGTAGTGTAGTTATGAGTGTTTACATTTTAAACCATTTTTAAGCAAAGAGCATACTTTGATAAGCATTGTATACTGTATTGTATTTCACAAAACACAGTCAAGTGTTATTATCTCTCAGAAACAAGGTAGTGAAAGGAGAGGGGTAAATATATTTCAGATGCTAGTTGTCAAGTCACAGTTTTAATATGCATGTAGACACTTGTTTCTTATAGCTAAAGTGTGAGGCATACAATAATGCTACTCTTTTATTTACTAATAAGAGTTATTTTTGTAACACACAACAAATACTCATTTTAACCTGTTTGAATCACTTAGAATGTTGATATGGTTTATACAGTAGACTGGTTTCCTTTGTTATGGTATGTTGTGGCACAGGACTCAGATTACAGAAGCATCAGTGAGAGTTGCATCACTACTCCATTTAGTGTTGCTCTCCCCTCAGGCATTGTTGGAACAGCTACTGTACTTATCAAATAACTCAGAGCTCTAACAGGGAGGCATATTGGAGGAGCATGTGTTGAGTCCTCATTCTCTCCATGCAGTACAGCAGTTGTAGCCTTAAGCCATTTCTTGCAACAGCTAGGGCTTCCTATGTGGAGGTCTTGGAATTTGATTAAGCTAGTTATTCATTATTTACTGGGAAAAACACTCTCTTCAATGATCATCTCTGAGAAGCAAGCCAAAGGAGCAGACAAAGACAAAGTTGTGAGAGAGGACTTCTCAGTGTTGTTATGCAGGTAATCGTGTTATGGTGATGAAGTTCCTTCTGTCCGAGTGCTTTCACAGCCCTGTTCTGAGTACAGGCAGCTACAGTACAGTATGTCTCTAAATCAGTCTTGTACATTTTCAGTGTTTATCACAGCTGATAATTCTAATTAGCAACATAATTTTAATGTAATCATTTAATTTAAATGATTGAAGTTAAAACATTCGAAAACATGTAAATATTTCATATGTTCTAATATATTTTAGAACTGTGACAATAAACATTTTCTTAGTTTAGGACATGTTCTCCTATATCTGTATATTAAAGATAAATATACAAAATATGATATAAAGATGGGATACTAACTAATTCTGTAACAAAATCCCCAGTGATGCCCTAGAGATGTACTGAACAGAAATGTTAAACCCCTGTATTACTCTTGTAGTCCTTTTAATATTTTGTTACACGAAGCCTGCTGAAATAATATAAATTACTGCAATGTTTTATATTGTGCTTTCTTTCAAACGCCAGATTTAGGATTGGCTATCTTAAACAACATTTTCAAGGATTACATTTCACTTTAAGTTTTTTGATGAAAACTATAATAATGATAATCATAAGCTATCTATTACCATATTAAATTATTTAATAACTATTTCATATTCAACACTATTCGAGAACTGTTGTCATACATACCTCAGAACTCTCTTTGTCCGTGGCTCAGGGAAGGTCTGTAGTAATGGAGAATACGCTGACTTCTGTGCTTTATACTGTATACTTGCCCTTAGGGAACTGATGGGTTTGTTCTAGTCTAATGATTCCCATGTGTGAAGATGTTAATTGGAGTTTATTCCAGCCATTTCAGGTGCAGGCATTCAAAATTAAAAAAAATGTTGCAATTGCAAGTGGGCTTTGTCATTGGACTGTTATATTAATATATATAGTTTATTGATAGTGAACATGCTCTAGAATTGACAGGATAGTATACTAAACTATTGTGATTCTATGGTAAAGTGTGCACAGCACAGTAAATGTACCTTAAAA